TTTCTTACAAAAGCTTTCTTGCCACTATAGACGTTTGGTATGTGCCAACGTTTCTTCGTCCGAATCTTTTACATATTTCTACCGTGTTGCATCTTTAGAGGTTAACCTCTTTTTTGGACAGAAATATTAATGATGTCGTGAGGTTTTACCAGACCTTTTTACTCACTTTAATATTCTGAAAGTGGATATGTTCGACTGAACCTTGATTAATAAGTGACTGTCTAACTGACTTCGTAGCTAACTGAATCCTCCCAAAACGCATCAAAATGGGACGAAAACTTTAACAAGCAAGCGCTTACTCTAGACCGTAGGTTTTCAATCACAGGGACATGTCCCGAGGTGGGAACATTTGATGTGTCACAGCCAGTCACAAGCTGTGAAAAATTAATATTTTCCAACTACAATGCATCTTATAAGATGAATACACTATACACAGCCTAAATTAACATCGTCTAGGAGTACTCAAAGAATCATTACTATAAAACTATGCGAGAACGTGTCTGGTATCCAATCATTATAGATACGCTTTCAATATTTGGGGACATCATTTTCATGCTGATTCGATTTGGGCACGCATTAAAAACAGATTGAAAACCACTGCTCTAGATAATCGATGTCTATTTTGGAGAAAATCTGAGATCTAAAGCTTGAGCTATGACAAGATCAGGTTTTGTTCATTGATGGATTTTTCTGCACCATGATCCGATCTTATACTCAACACCATTGATATGATCTGTTCATTCCCGGATCGTCTACCCGTTAAACCACCATTCCGTATCTAACAAATTCAAAACTATCATCTTTGTACCTTTTCCCACCTAAAAATGTTTTAGAATTCACCAAATTAATTATATTTTTCTACAATTTTCTAAATGAAGAACCGTCGGAGCTGCGGTATTTTTCATCTCAGTCTCGACAGTTGTCTCCCCATTAAGTCAGTCTGTCCTTTATTTGTACTCCCAGACTGCCGCCGCTATATGATATATAGAAATCGGTTTGAATGAGAGGAAGACATGATTGTCGCGTTGAGTGTTGTTGAGCCACTCATTGCTAAACCACAGGAACCACAGACGTCTGACTGACTGTTATCAGTGTCCCGCTACACATAAATGATTAGGAAAACCTTTTAATGCTTAATCTAAAAATTGAAAGCAGTTGTTTAATTTTATTACTATTAAATAATACAGAACATTACTTTTACATCTTCTATGTAAATAGTCTTCAGAAGGACCAGAATTATAATAAAATTGCAAAATTCATCCAAAAATACTTCAAACTAGGAATTTCATTTTCCGTTTATAGTCCTATGTCTTTTCTATATTAGAAAATACGAATCGTTATTTCAACATTCAAACGCGGATAGTACTGGACACACGAATTTGAAGCATCAGATTTGGACTCTTTCTGATTAAGTCAAACGGGTGGTAATTCTGTCCTTATAAGTTATATAAGTGTAGAATTAATGTATACACAATTCACCACGAAGAAATCAACATCATGTAAAGTCATTCAAAAACTTATCAACTAACAGTCGAAATTTGATCCTTTTTATCAATCTGTTTCCAATATTATCAACTATTGAAAGTTAAATCGATGGCTCGTCTTTTTTTGAGACTTAGTCAAGCATGTTCATAAATGAAATTTTTGATAATAACTTTTGCAGTCATTTCGATTCAGTTGTAAAGCCATTTCTGTTTGAACTTGCACACACCCATATTCCTTTAGCAGCGCTGTACAACATTTACAACGTAGTACGGGATACTGCCTCTTAGAATGGACATACAATTTAAAGTATCAAACTTGGTCAACAAGTGTATTCATTCATCAGTTGGATGTACCATGACTAAAGATTACTTAGTTTTATGGATTTATTGGATTATAGAGGGGCTCTTTTGTATAGTTAAGGGGTGGTATATCTTTAAGGAACATTACACACCATATTTCTTCTTAAAGACATGGCAATGCCTTTCAGCTTCGGATTGATTAATTATGCTTATGTGCCGTTTTTTTTTTCAAATACAAGGTAACCTCTCAGCTAACCGATAAAACGATGGCACACTAGTTTGCAGTAACATTGAATAGGTAACAGGTATCATGATTACGGTACATCACAAAGCAATTTAGATCGATGACACACAAATCTCTACAGTCACTTATATGACAGTTACTGGAAATACGTATATGGTGAAATGATTCGTACCTTCAAACAACAGTCTTGTACATTCTCGTCTTTCCATGCATTCTGGATGACACTGGGTCTCGCTAGTAAAAGTGGAAAAGTTTTTGATGCAAATATTGATGAATTTGTAACCATTACATAGTAAAAGATCCTAAAAATAAGATATTATTTTTTTTCAATCGTATGCTATTGGTTAGTCTGAAACATCTGCCTCTATTCCAGCCTCTGGTAGATATTTTGATATTTGTCAGCTGGAGTAGGCCCTGACCAATGAATATTTGTCCGCACCTCTGAAAATGCGTCTTTTCTGGATGGCCCATACGAGATCAGTTTCGTTAAAAAAAACGTGACCAGACTGGAGAAGTGGTGTGGAGAGAAAATGATGGTATGACTGAACTACAAAATTATTCATCTTTTCAAATATATCTGGGTTTCAAAGATCTGAGGTATCTAATTAAGGTTTAAAAAACCCTCACCCCGTGGAGATGCGTAAAGTCTAACAGGGCCTATTTTTCTGTCTCTACACCAGCCGACATCTGTCCAAAAAGCTATCAGAGAGCTTTTGGTACGATAGTGTTGTTCGCATGTTAACATGATCAACATGTTATTGACCGAATGCATGACTTTTGAACGGACCGGATATCTCTAAAGATAGTTTACTAGACAATGTAACATACACCCACAATTAATTGATCGTATACGTTTAGGCCTACGTAAGGTCAAAGAAATATTAAAAAACTGTAAAAACTATAACCTGTCTCTTACCGTTGAATATATTTGTCCCAAAATCATATGTACGGTTCTCTGATAGTTTCAATTGTGATTTGTATAAGTAGCATTCTTGTCTCAATCCATTAAAAGCGAGTGATAAACAATTTATGTCTGATAAACACCTTGCTGAACATGGAAAAACAGATCTGACATTACTGATAACTAATGAATATCTCGAAATCATTCCATCTTTTATCACTGCATCGTAGGACAAAGCCTCAAAAGGTTCAATATCTTGCACAAGGCACCGCCAGAATGTCATCACCACCCAGGTAAAATGCAGCATCTTAAACGATGACATGCGATGTTCTAAATGTCTTAAACAAATGGATTGAAACTGATTTTAGTGTAAATCACTTTTATAAATCTGACATGAGATCGCGATAAGAATTACCTGACTTTTATTGATTTTCAATAAAAAAAGAAATTTCTATATAAAGAATAAGATAGAGTAGATATTAGAGTGGCTGAAAGGTAACAAGTTACTATCCAACAGAAGGCACTGGCACAGGGTTAAAGCAATGTTCACAAACGTTAAGGTTAATATGTTGGAGTAACTGGTAGACAAATTTACGTTATATGCATAGCCTCTATTTTACTTAATTTATTATTTTTATGTGAATATTTTTTTTATCTGACTGGATCGGAAGGGAGAGATAAGACCACTTCAGTACGACGTTTGTGGACCATCTGTAGAACGTGGAGGGAAAGTTGATGAAAATAGATAAGTAATTTGTTAAAGGCTGAGCTTATCGATAGTAAGTATAGACAAGTCTCGTTGATTTAATCAATTTACTGGATGAACGGATTTGGAGTTACCGCCCTTTACTTAGCTGAATCACGTCAATTTTGGCGGATGAAGCTACAGTAATATCCTCAACTAACCACATTTTGGTACTCTGGTTACTCGTAGGCCTACGGTCTTAGTATGATATTTCCCGTCATTCTATGTTGGACTTTAATTTTCAAATGGTACTGATAGTCTTGATAACAAGTAAAGTGGGAATAACTAAATTTTCATTGAGTACTACCCAATATTTTAAATTTTGCACTCATATATGGACTTCACTCGCGATTGCTAGTGACGACTCGATGCCCACTCTGCAAACTGCAATTCTGGATAAGTCATGTTTTGTTGGTAGTTTATACTAATGTAAAGTTGATACTATGTTACAGATGTTCGTGATGGTTGGAGAATATTATTTAGGCTGTCGAGGCACGGTGTCCGATGTAATACAGATGTAAAAAAATAGAATGAAAGGGTGCCCGCACCGTTTCTGGACCTCGTGTTCACTTCTTCTATTTTCAACTGTATCGATGTACCGTACACCACACCAGCCACCATATCTCATCTATTCGCAGCTGAGCCGTTTTGATCACAAACCGTTTTGGGTAATCATTTAAATATTTTTAAATTAATGGCATGTATTTTTATTGCATTTGACATACATAATACAATCACGTGACAACAATTTACATTTCATTTAGAACCGTGCATTAAAACCTTTTATATATTCAACAACAAAAAACAAATAAACCTAAAGGATTGCAAAAACAAAAAACAACATTTTAGTCTTCTTTTAACTCGCCATTACTATATTCATGGAGCTAAACCATTATTTTTTAGCTTCTTAGACAATTCTAACGATATCCCACAAATATCATTTCAAAATATCATATCAAAATAATAGATGGTTTATTTGATGGCAGACATTTCTGCTCCAAGTGTGGTTACTTATGAACAATAAGAGATAACATGATTACAATATTTATGTGGACGCCGGGGTACACAATGACGTTATTTTCATCGTGCTGGTAGCAAGCTGTGACAGAATGAACCATGCTACGACATTTCCAGTTGATGATGCAGTCATATCTACAGCTTCTAGACACCCAAATCATACATATTATACAAGTCGAAATCTAAAGAGGAAGTAACAGTCAAGTAAATCACGGAAAGCTATTCCTGTTAATAATGAATTTTGGTTACAATTTCATATTTAGCATCTTTGACAGTCCTAACGAAAGCCCTAAAATATCATTTCAAAAATCATTTCCCATAATTGTCGAGATCATAATTAGGTATTTCTTCCTCATCTGAAATAAAAACAAATAGTGAAATATCGTGCGGACCTTTGTACATTTTTCTTGTTGATAGTAGTTATTTCCCTTTATTGTGTGGTAAAAGAAATAAGTCGTTCACATGCAATAAATACTGAATGGAGTTATATTTCAAATTAGTGAAACTATCAAGGATGTCGGTGGGGCATTAAGTAACATTGGGAAAAATCAGGCCACGTATTCTGGAAACAATCTTAGCGCTAGGATGTCCTAGGTTCATATCTTCTAACATTGATTCTAGGACAGCCTAGCACCAAGATTGTTTCCAGATTACGTGGCCAGGTGAACTGTGAAAATACGACTGTTTGCGTTGGATTTTCCTTTTTCCAACGTTTTGTAGATAATTTTGGGTATACATCTATATATATTATCCACAGATTACCTTAGTTACCCCAGAAGCATCAGCGATGTACCGAAATATAGGGGATCTAGCATATTTCCTCTATCGATGAATGGTTGGCCACACATAGCACCAGAATATTCTCTCGCAAGCAAGAATACACGTGAATTCGTCTTCTGTTTTTTCTCGATGTCTAAAAATGTTATTTAAGCTACGATTACATGTGTGCGTAAGCGTAACTGTTGAGTTTGAGTTTGAGGACACATGAAAGCAGTAAATTGGATTTGTTAAGGATTTGGATAGAATTTGCTTCTCTTCCGTTTTTTATTGAGGTGGTGTTTGAGTTTTAGTTTGCGAACACATGTAACACATGTAACCTTTATATCGGGACAGAAACAGGCTCTTTTTGGAAAGCATTGTGATAAAGACGTGTCATATAGCCAGTATTGCCTTTATTAGCCTAGCATTGGAACGTATACGTTGAAGATGAAAAATTTACTTCAATCTCATTTGACAACTTATTTGATAAATTTGAAATTGTGAACTTATACTTACCATAAAGTGTCTGAGTGCTCTGGTTATCTGTAGAATTCTCTGATGATTCTAAAAGGAACAAATCATTTTAATAAAATTCTTCTTGTATATAGTTCAAAGCAAATGATAGAAAATCTAGAGCTGACATAATTTTTTTTCACACAGCACTCCAAATCATAGCCAGGGTAACCTGATGTTATATTGTCCATAAGTTTATCTTTTATCACAGAATCATAGGTCTTAATACCGATTATTTCTTTAGGTGATGATCGTAATTCATATTACCAGTATTGCCAATTTTATAGTTATATTCAGCTCCAGATAATGCTATTTATTGTTAGCTTTTAATTTGAACTATGTTTATGATATGTTTTATGTAGGAACTAAATGAAAATGGCCAAATTGGTGCATTGTTGTATGACAATTCAACAGGTATTTTATGATATACTGACAGACAAAAGAAACGTCACATCTGAAAATAATGCAAAAACTTTTCAGACGCTGGTTATTACAATTACATGTTCTGTAGTCAATAAACCGACACGTCATTTTAAGATAGTCTGTGATATATAGAAAAGATACATAGCAATAGTGAGAAAAATTCTTAGTTTGAGATATTTTTGAAGGAATTATACGATTTTCTCACATTTCTAGTACTTCTGAAGACTATTTACATATTTTCCTGACTCAAATCAAACCCCCAAAATGGCACATCTTTCCCTTTAACACTGACTTTTCTGATTGAAGCATTTGCAAATAAAGATATATTATCCACATAACATTTCTTTTGATATTTGATTTTCAGTTATTTTTCTTTTTCATTGTCAGGTATAGAGGTAATACTCACCATTAAATATGGTTGTCCCAACATCATCTAAACTTGATTCTGATGGTAATACATATGAATCGTATAGATAACATTCTCTTTTTAATCCGTTGAAAGCAAATGATAAACAGTTTGTATCAGAAAAACATTTCAGAGCACAAATTGTTATAGATTCGTTATCAGTTAAAACTAAATAATATCTTATAATTATTCTGTCTTTTATCACAGCATCGTAAAACATGCTTCTTGTAGCCTTTAGATGAACCACCATACTCAAAATAGCAACGGCAAATATGATTGTGTGTTTCATCTTCAGTGTTCATAAGTATTACTCTTCTGCTAAAGATGAATTAAACAAAAATTTTAATTGCAAAAATCAATGATTTGCTTCTAAAAACACTATCTTAGAAGTGGTAATATGTTAGGCCCCAACATGATTCAAATCTCTTATTAGAGCCAGAGTCTTTATCATAATACAATAACATTGTTTCATCACAATACTAGTCTGGGAATCATTATGCATTGTTTGTTTTGTTCACTGTCTTTCACCTAGACTCTATCATCCACCCCCTCTTTGTCAACTCACAGCTTCGACGAAAGATGTACACAGGTAGAGTCTGGGCGTCAGAGACTATCTTTCACCACCACGTCGGTCTTTAAAAATTGTATAATTTCAACCACTTGTGTTATAGAAAGTTTAGCTTTAGATTTTAGTTTCAGAATTTATAAAAATAATGTATATTGTTTTGTCATTATAATGTAAGTCATTACTCTTATACTCTTATTTTTCCCGGGCAAATGGACGCAAAAAATTTCATAATAGTTTTACCAACTTGTCTTTACTGTAACAAGACACTGTAACGACACAGCTTCTGCCTTCCTCATTCTCGGTGCTTGTACACTTAAAAGGAGGAGAGCGAGACGATTTGAAAATGTTATACGCTGCAATTGTTATGCAAGGCAAGGTAATATACGCCCACTAATAGCTTTGATTTTAAAAAAGAATATTTGGCAGTACAGTGATAACCACCTTATATACAGTGGCGTCGCCAGTCTTCCGAGACTGGGGGGTATAAATAGGGGATGACTGACTCAATGGGGGGACAACTAAATTGAAATTTTGCTACTCTGTGGTGGTGTCATATAGTCGAAAGCTCTCATAAAGCGTCTGAAAGGGTTCTCTGAAGAAAATTTTAGAAAATATGAATTGATATTGTGCATTCTGACACATATTTTGAAGAAAATAAGTAGACATTTACATTACAAATGTAGTACTTAACAGTGTAGCATCTCCCTGGACAAAAGTAGAAAGTGGAGTACCACAAGATCCTAGGCCCAGTCTTATTCATTATCTTTATCAACGATATGCCCAGTGCCGTTAAATCCCTTGTAAACCTTTTTTTGCTGACGACACCAAACTATTTGGCCCATGCTCAACCGAACGTGACAGGGATCAACTACAGTATGCCCTAAACAACTTGGCAAATGCAGTTTAAACATCGATAAATGCAAATCTGTTCACTTAGGATACAATACTCCAAAGCACCAATACAATATGAGACACAACACCACACACGAACCATTACGATAAGAAAGCACTGAAAAAGACCCTGGCATCACAATTGACGACACCCTCAAATTCAGAAAACATGTTTTTGAAAGTGTAAAAAGACGAACTTTCAACAGATGTATCCTACAAACTGAATAGATAGAATGAAAAAAAACAAATGAGCACTCCTAACTATAATTGATCACCATTGTACGTGAAATTTGAGAACTTTATGGTGGTCAAAAAGCCTACAAGCATAATAAAATTACAGTAAGATACAGTAAGAACTCTCTACAGACGAACTACGTTGATAACGAGTATTCATACCCAATATTTGTACGAACTAGGCGGCGCTAACCTTCTGAGAGTGGAGGTACAAATAGGGGGCAGACTGATTCAATGATTTTGTGCATTTTGACATATATTCTGGAGCAATGTACCCCAATTGGTGCGGCCATTGATCAGCATTGGTCTTTTTAGTTAATAAATTCCTTTGCAACCTTTTTAGTAATTTGGTTTAGAGTCTTCACCGTCTATTATCAGTGGCGATTAATGCGAAAAGTATTTTTAGCTCAAAACACAACGTTTGCCCTCAATAATTTTTATACTTTATAATTTAAAACCACAAAAAGCAGTAAACTGAAGTCAAGTTAAGAGTTCAGCAGCTTAGCCGGCTGTAGTTTCAGCCAAGTTGATCACAGTTATCACAACGACCTTGTTACAGGTCTGCTTCGTATTTTGACCTTGTTCACAAGACACCAAGAGCGCACACGTAAAGAAAGGCATTAAGGGATTGTAAAGAGGATTTCTAATTTGTTTATGTTTATTTGGGACACTGATATCATCAGTATCACACAAGGCCTTTGAGAGGGTGACGTCATCAAATACTTTTAGTAGAATTTCCAGAACTACCAGACGTCTGATTGAAAATTGGAATGGCGTAAATTCATGCTGTCATCGTCGCCAACACACATACACAATTTAGAAAACCTCTTTTCAATCCCTTAATTATTTCAAAAGCAAGTTACTTTCTCAAACAAAGTGACAGCATTGTGGTTGTTATTTTTCTCAAGTTCCCCTGTTGTTGCATTGAACAGGTAACAGTAATCGGCATTATTAAAATAATACACTACAAGGCAGTCCGAATTTATCATACAAGTGTCTTTACAGCTATTCAGATCCAGAACATCAAAAAAAATGATGGGGCTTTCATAGAAATAGCAATTATCTTGACCCACACTTTGAATATATATATTTGCGGTGCATTCTGGGCGTTTGGTACATTCCAATTTGCATTGAGAGTCACTTGTCGTTCGTAAAGAAAACAGAACAGGAATCGTCAAGCCTCCTGACTTTAGAACCATATTATAACACCCTGGAAAAGAAATAAGGGTCAATCAATCAGCCTACGAAGTAGACTACATTCCTATTGCATTGAGTGAATTGCAAGAGAAATACTTTAAACAGAGAAATATTTGTAATTTGAATTTAGTAAGGGATACTTTCGGCAATAGAAACTAAACTCCAATTTAGGATCTGTATCAGGAAATCCCGGAGAAATTGTTAAGTTATATTGTATTTAACAAAGAGTGGCTGCATTTTACTCAATATTAAGATTGTATACAGTCACATGCCAGGCAAAATCAATGACATTAAATATGAAGAAATGTATGATCATCTAAAAATAATTCACTAATGATAATACTATTATTTTTAAGAAAAAAGTTATTGCTAGACTTAATTAGTATCATTAGAATACAGAATTAACTAAAAACAGTAACATATTTTTTTTTTTTGGATTAGAGATAAACATTCTCTTACATCTGATGACACCTTTTTTATTCTAATTATTAAAACGCTTTATATTTTTAAGTGTTTTTCAATAATTACTTAGTTTAGAGGGATATGTTCACCATCCGTTTGACCAATCATACCATACGATAAGTTAATCAGTAATAGTGTTCACAGCTCACCGTCGGAATTTAAGCCCTCAAATCCAAGTGTGTCCAGAATTATCTGTGGTTAAAAGTTAAATTGACGACTCGTCAATTCTTGAGACTCTGCCTTATATAAAAAAGTGAAATTCCCAGTTTGATATATTGTTGAATGAATTTTGCGATTGTCGTAGTATTTTCTAGTACTTCTGAAGATTATTTACTTATATTCAATACCCAAATCTCCCCCCCCCCCCTCCAAATAGCCAATCTCTCACTTTAATGCATTTATAGGAATCTGTTGTACCACGTTTAAGTTCACTGATAAATATAATAATCTCTGATTGGTTTCATTCGAGAATTTAGATTTTACATATAGTTATTCTAGTAGTATTCCTTTAAACATTTTATTATACTTACTATTAAATATGGTGGTCCCAACATCACCTGTACTAGATTCTGATGACAACACATATGAATCGTATAGATAACATTCTCTTCTTACTCCGTTGAAAGCAAATGATAAACAGTTTGTATCAGATAAACATCGCATTGCACATAGAAATTTTGATTTGCAATCAATTAAAACTGTGGAATTCCTTAGAATCATTCTATCTGTTATCACGGTATCGTAAAACATCCCATTAGCAACCCAAAAGTTTGCAACGATGCATAGAATTACTACGGCTCCAAGCATGTTGGGTTTTTGATGATAACAAGCGGTGTCTGGTTCTTGGTACTGGTTCGATTTCAATTTGAATCCAAGAGGTAGTCTAAACTATTGTTTATAGCACAACATCAATTGAATAGACAACATTAGAGCGATTAAAAAAAGGAAATTAATTGATTTTACATTGATGTTCATCCGTGAGTTAATCACAATTTTCATGATGAAAATCAAACATCCTTGCTGATGTTATATTGTTTGTCGATCTCTATTGATTTTGTCCAACTTAATGTTGGCATGATTGTATTCACCTCATATCGTATCCCAAATACGGGTTTTGACATGGTCTAATTTACTGATGTTGAAAACCTCGTTGAATATCTTCGTGTCCAAACTACGCCCCATTCGTAATACTTTCTCGGACTAAGTGATGGAAATGTTGGTATATAAAAAGCATCTATTCAAAAGAGACAACAAACCGTATCCCAATGAATAAGACATAGAAAATGAATAGACTATTATTGTAGTTGTCCTGACACGGTTTCCTTCATTACATATTGCATGGTGTTGCCAGACCGTATTAGCCTTATCGGGTTCAGAAAACTCGCCCGCTTACACGCAACCTTATTGAAACCCTTTTTTCCTGCCTGAATTGTAAATGTAAATGAGAGTTGTGGTGTTTTACGCTTTTGGTTTATCAGTTATTATTATACGACACAAAACCGAAAGGAGAAAAACCACGATGTCAAGTACTAAGCTATAAGTGCCTAGATTTGGGGTTGGTTTGCCTTAATACAATGTACATAATAATTATAATGTAGCATAATGCAAATTTAAGTGTTTCATTGAATTAATATTTAGGCTGTGAAGAATTACTCTAGCAATGGCAGCGTTTGGAGAGGTTGTGCACAATTCATATGACTTATCCTGTATAGTGGGTAAGAGGTTCATGTTAGCCAACCCATCATAAACTGGGGACTAGCTTGGCGGCATTAATCTAATCTATATAGAAATCGAAGGTAATAGTGATGTAGTATGGAATTATAAAATTATTTTCGTCTTAATGCACTTCAGAGTGGTATACAAATAAAAGCAAATCCATCGCAGTGTGGAATGTTTACTTGAGATGCCTAACTCTGACTTTCCTTTTATATCAATCACAATGCCTAGCTATATTGCTCCCTGAAAAAAAGTTGGCATCCATGTAGTTTGGAATGTGATCCGACAATGCTACTGACTGACAAGAGTTCAAATATGCACTATTACTGTAATTGTAAAGAGGCACGAAGCAATTCTGGTATGATCGACTAAAATCATTTACTTTCCCAGGCAATGGGTCAATTCCATTGACACAGATTGGTTTCAGTAAAAGCCTGTTCAAACGAAAAACAAGTACATGTAGTTACTTACAATATGTTTAATTTAACAGAAAATATAGACATATACAGAGACATTGATGAGACATGTCAGAGATCATGTTTAATCTCCACCAGCTCCTCCCATCATCATACCGCCTCCCATACCTTGTCCACCTCGTCCTCCTTGTCCACCTTGTCCACCTCGTCCGCCTTGCTGTGGGAATCCGAATCCTTGTCCGCCTTGTCCGCCTTGACCTTGACCTCCCTGACCGGGTCTTTGTCCCATTGGACAGTCTTGTGGTTGACCTCCCTGTCCTTGACCTCCCTGACCTTGACCTCCTTGCTGCCATGGATCGCCACCCTGTTGTCCTTGTCCTGGTTGTCCCTGGCCTCCTCGTCCAGGTTGTCCTTGACCACCCTGGCCTCCTTGCTGCCATGGATCACCGCCCTGCTGCTGTCCTCCTCGTCCTGGTTGTCCTTGACCACCCTGACCTCCTTGCTGCCATCCACCTTGTTGTTGTCCACCTTGTTGCTGTCCACCTCGTCCACCTTGTTGCTGCTGTTGCTGCCATCCTCCTTGTTGTCCACCTTGTGGCTGTCCACCTTGTTGCTGTCCACCTTGTTGTTGCTGCTGCCATCCTTTTTGTCCACCCTGTTGACCTCCTCGGCCACCCTGACTACCGCCACTGTATGGTGTGTTCCATGAGTAACTGACGGCTAGTACACCTATAGTATAAAGTTGTATTCATGTATTAAACCATTTATTTAAATCTTTATGTTAAGTTCTAGACTTAATAATATCGAAATAATGGTTTCAGACAGGAAGTTGGAGAGGCCATTTTTGTGCCAAAACTTAAGCCCTAATTTTAATCTTCTTATTGGATCACATTATTTGAAAACATTTTCAGCATCTGACATCTGAAGCTTGTATCTTTTCACCTCCATCTGGTAATTAATTAAATACCAGATCGATGTCGACTCGATAAACCCAGTCGAGAAGAAGAAGGTGCGAACAAGCTATCTCACACAGTAATTATTGTAATGTACCAAATTTTAGTCAAAATTTTTAGCTTTAAGTTTGAGAGTCCGAAGACTAGCCCCAAATTGGAGTGCTAATTTCAGTGATCACTGCAATGCACCTCGAATCAAATAACGTATGAGAGATTTAGAGAGTAGCCAGTTCCAGAATGTACGGAACAGAACTTGGAACTAGCCCAAATGAAGTCCAACCAGTGGCGGTGCCAGTAGGGGTATAGAGGGTAGGGGCATTTGACCTTCTGGAAAAATAGTTAAGTCGGCCTGCCCCTTATTTGTACCCCCTAGTCATGGGAGGCTGGCGCTGGCGCTGAATACAATTATATTTAAATAAAGAGATCATCAACGTTGTAAATATCTAGTTGTAGGTAGAAAAGATACTTACCAAGAAAAACGATGAGTGTGATTGAAGCTTTCATCTTGTAGGACTTTGATATCTGAAACAAAGTGGTAATATATTAACACATTTTACATACTTTTATATACAGAATTACATGTAGCGATTCCTAATTTTGAGAGCAAACACGAAACAAAACTGAACTTCATGAACACGTGAACACATTAGTGCTAATCTGTAAAGTAGCATGGTCATGTTTAACTAAATGGTAGATTTCAGCATTGATAGAATAAAGATAGACCAATTTCAAACATGAATACCAGCCTTCAGTTGCTAAAGAAGATGAATGGGAGCCCACGGATTTTGACCGTCCTTCCCGGGATTTTATTTCAACACGCTCACCTGCTTTTTTTGTTCTTGGCGTAGGGGGCCCTTACGGTGGGAGACCGTCAAATTGGCTAAATCAGTCCCAATGGTAGTTCAGCCATAATTTAATTTTGTTCGATGTTGATTTCTGACGTCAAGACCGAATTGCGTACCAGCGCCACCTTGCGGATTAGTACTATATTTTCCCTATTCTAAAACTGGCTCATGGTAGTCCTGGCTGCATTCTCAATAGATTATATTGATAGATAGATAAATACATCTATTCATCAGCTGAACTATTACTATTGCTACTTCGCCTCGTATATTACATTGCCAACACTCTAAGTTAGAGACTAGATGGTATTAAAGACTATTAGCCATACCATAAGGTTTGAATTAATTATGAATAAAAAAAATTGTGTTCTTACCAAAGGTATTCCTAGGAGTAGATCAAAAGTTTGATTTCAACTCAGATCATTTTGGCCTTATATAGTGAATAAAATCGTGCTTGCAAAATCCGCCAATTTACTCTTAATTTTGACAGTTTGTAGTTACTGAGTTATATTAATATATTTCAGGCTTTGATATGTAATGATGTGTTTACACTCTCACGGTGTACATTATAGATACTTTGGATGCTAGTCCGAAGCATCTGACTCTATTCCAGCCACAGATAGATATTTTGACAGTTATCAGCTGGAGTCAAAAAAAAAACTAGGTCCTTTATATGGGCATTTCCCGCACCTTTGAAAATGCGGTTTTTTTCTAATATAATATCAAATTACCTTGACGTTGACTGTAGAATAGTGTTGGGCATCACTGTAACTTTCGTTTTGTTAGTATCATGTGACTTCGTGGCCCGTGGACTTTTGGCTGAGCTCGCACTTTTTTTTACGGCCGACAAGAAATCTGTTTGTTTTGTTATAAAGAAACCTTTGATGGAACCGCAGACGTGACATAAATGATGAAGGGGGCATAATGATGGTATGACTGAACTACAAAAATATCCTTCCTTTCCGAATATATCTGGGTTTGGTGGATCCGATTTAGAAAATAGGTTTAAAACACCCCCACCTTTGTAGGTATAAGGAAAAATTCCCATAAAACAGGAAATGGTTTTTCTGTCTCTACACTAGCCGACAATTTTCAAAATAGCCATCAGAGGCTAGAATAGAGCGGATGTTTCGGTCTATCTGGATACATGTCGAGATAAATGCATCATCAACAGAATTTAATTTAAAGAGATTGTAAAGATTGTAAAACATTTTTTATGTAAATCAGGCACACTGATAGCATCAATTTTCACCATTCCATTTTCAATCCGACGTCTGTGGTTCCTGCAATTCCACTAAAATCAAGAGTTTGTTGATGTCACTTATCGCGAAGGGCCATTTATGGGTTAAAGCATATTTTGCGATTAATGAAGTCATCAAACTCGAAGTTTTAGTGGAATTACAAATGTTTTTCACTTGACTATCTATTGCTGTTCTCTGTTCAACTGTCGGACTACTAACCTCTAAACGGTGCCTTTTAGACCAACCGGAAATGAGGGTTGAAAACCGACATTTTTTCAGTTTGTTTTCTATATATAATTTCGATTGTGATAAAATTATTGGTTACAGGAAAATAATTTTTTAAATTTGACTTTCGTCTTTGACTTTAAGAATATAAATTTTTGCATTTGTAATTGCTGATATCTATTCAATGATATATTCATTTGTTGATGGTTACTTCCGGTTTCTAGCCAATTACAAAATTGTGATTTTTATCTTTAAAGAACCCTGTCACGTGATATAATTTACATAGGCAATATTTTTTTTATTGAATTAATGATCTGCTTGTGTCTATCTCCTCTTTCCAATGATATATAGCATTAGACATTTTAACCAAAATTGAGCTTTTAAGAATTTTTATCACTAGAATCACAAAGTCTAAATTATAAATTCTTTTTGATTTATGATAGAATTGGTCACACAAAAAGTGACAAAATCAGACCCGCAAGTAACAGGGAAGTCGTCATATTAAAATTGCAAACTTTAATTAAAATCCAACATTAGTTGCTAAAAATATTTAGGAACCTATTTTTGAATTTTGATTTTGCTTTTAAAAATACTCCGATTGAAATATGAGAAACTTTCGAGGACTTGTGACCGAACCAGTTTGATAGCTCTCAGCAAGAAAATCTATCTAATGATATATTTATTTTTGCTGTTCGATGTTTACTACCTGTTATATCGCCAATTGAAAATTGTGAAGTTATCTTTAAAAAAAATCTGCCACGTTACCTAATGAACATTGGGCAAACAATTCTATTGATCTGTATTATGCTCGACATTTTCAACGACACAACAATATATAACAATAGATATTTTGATCAAAAATATGACGGCTTTTAGTTTCTGAATTTCAAGTTACAATATTGACTTCTGAAGGAATATCATATGAGTTTTAACGGTCTGTCGAAAGAGCTTCATGCAATCTAATGACAGGATGTGAGTTTCGGCTATCTGTTATATATATATTGAGTTATTTGTGGTAGGAAATAATGTTATTGTGGCCTAATATTAAAAAAGATAAAGGGCGAAGTGAGAAAGGATAAGGAGATAAAAGAGACGAACTGGGAAAGGGGCAACTTGGGGAGGAGGTGATATGGGAAAGGGGCAAAATAGCATGGGACGAAATGCGAAGGGGCGAGTTAAAATGAACCTTTTCAATATTTTTTATGATTAGCCAAAATTAGAATTTATTTCGACGATCTACGATTCAAATCAAATTATATACTTTTCGTGAGAGTTTTTGCCAAATGTCTTCAGACCGTTTAGCTGGATCTATTGTATCTTATCTTTCAATATCATGATTATTTTATTACGTGTTTTATTATATTATAACATACGCCATTTGCGAGACCAATCAAGAGTCTACAATGAAATGCGAATCAAACTTTATAATAGGTAGGTAGGTAGATGAAAAGTTAACGTTCGCTTCCACTTTATAATATAGATAGCAACGTTTTATATTCGTTTTACGTCAAGGGAAGGAACTCTCTGCAATTTTATTTGACCACTGAGGCTACTTATGAATTTTTTATTTAATCCAATTTTACTTCTTGCTTAACGAGAGTAAAAAACAGGTTAAAATAACGGAAAACGCCGACCAAGCATAAGTCTTCGGAGTACTGTAGTTCAAAGCATTGCACGGAGTACAAGAGATTACCCCTTTCACCAATCACAGACCCCTTTCTGCGCTTCTCTAGACCCCGCCATCATATATTATTTACGCATCTTCACTACTTATTCCATTTCTTCATAATTCCTTTCTCTCCTCGGGAATGTTATTAATCTACCGTGCTACTACCCCACTCCGTTACTTTACCTTCTACCTTCTTTCATTGATCTCACTGTACTTCCCTCTGCTTTCTCTCTCTACTGTCTTATATTTTCCTAATCCTCTGCTCTCTACCTTTTCAATTTAAATTGAACCCTGATGTAAGGGTAGAGTTGTTGAGCCCAATATCATGCCCATTCTAGTAAGATGTGCATGTATTTATTTTACAACTTTCAAGTGTAAAGCTTTGCGCTTAAATGCAGTAAGTTTTGTATGTAAACTGAAATGTAGGGGTACTTTTTTCTTAATAATTACAAATTTAGAATAGGAGAGAAAGATAATGTAATCATTAGCGTTGGTGTGATGCACAAACCGCTTTAAGAAATGTGATGTAAAACAAACAATTCAACACCATCAATTATTCGAAATTCTTAAGATATCATTTTTTAGCTTCGTATTTAATTCCAACCACACTAAGCCAAATCGGAAGTAAGTAATTTTAACGAATTTTTAACGTAGATTCTTTATTTTAACAAAAAACAGAGACTATTGCATTTGGAGAATTAGATTGTCAAAAATAGAAACTAGAACGATACCTTATAAATTCTCCAAATTCAACAATTTGGTTCGTTCTATGAAAGTCCATAAAATTGAAGGTGGTTATTTGTCTGTCATGTATTACTTGCGGAAGGGTCGGTTGGTGCAGTGTTGTGAATTCCAATATCAATTTTTCTATAATATATTGATAGCCACCTGTATCTGTCAATAAAGTCTATGTTTCATGACAAAACATCCTTATATATTGGTTTAAATCTCAACATGTGGGTTCGACAGAAGGTATCAATCTAATCCAAATTAGATTACAATTTCGTTTCGTTATTTTTTGTTGTCGGTCTCCATTGCAGACTGACGAAAATAATAACGAAATTGTAATCTAATTTCAATCAGATTGAGAGGGCATGAGCGAAGAGCTCAAACCCAGAAATTGGTCGAATAGTAATTACTGAAATGAGCTCGATGGTTGATTCCGAAAGCTCAGGTAGACTACATAGTCCAAAGTTAGAAGGTAAACAAACACAACATTTTTCAGATTCTCGCAGTTACCACGATAGTTGAAAATCCACCTGATTCCATGAGCAAGTCATATGATTAGTGTTATAATGCGGAAGAGGTTCATGTTAATCAGGTCTATCGAAAAGGGATGGAACTTACAAGTTCCTTAAAGACATCAAATATGTTTTGAAATTAAGACGATGAAGCAGGTAAAAGGTGCGCAGGGCAGTGTAGAATGGATAGAATTACGACAGGCAAACCCCTAACGATCGTCTGATAGCAATCGATAACAGTGGCTTGGCTATGTTTGCTCCTGAAATAGATGTTGGAAACCATGTTTGGAATGTTGGTCGACTTTGCTGTTGACAGGTAATAGAGCTAAGTAAAATGCACTATCCAACTGCAAGAACAAAGAAGCGCGATACAATGGACAGAAACCATCATTTACTAAGCCAATTATGCCTGGTCTCTAATCAATAGATATAGACATGGCATCTGTTTTCAGTAAAGTGGTGTGCAATGCTTAAGAAAGAAAAAAAAGGTTATTTACAATGTGTTTAATGTAACAAGCATTATAGATATACAGAGACATTGATGAGACATGTCAGAGATCATGTTTAATCTCCACCAGCTCCTCCCATCATCATACCGCCTCCCATACCTTGTCCACCTCGTCCTCCTTGTCCACCTTGTCCGCCTCGTCCTCCTTGCTGTGGGAATCCGAATCCCTGTCCGCCTTGTCCGCCTTGACCTCGACCTCCCTGACCTGGTCTTTGTCCCATTGGACAGTCTTGTGGTTGACCTTGCCCTGGTTGTCCCTGGCCTCCTTGACCTCCCTGTCCTTGACCTCCTTGCTGCCATGGATCACCACCCTGCTGCTGTCCTCCTCGTCCTGGTTGTCCTTGACCACCCTGACCTCCTTGCTGCCACCCACCTTGTTGCTGTCCACCTCGTCCACCCTGTTGCTGCTGCTGCTGCCATCCTCCTTGTTGTCTACCTGGTTGCTGTCCACCCTGTTGGCCTCCTGGAAATCCACCTTGTTGTCCGCCGTTTTGACCCCCAAATCCACCTTGTTGACCGCCTTTTTGACCGCCTTTTTGTCCGCCTTTTTGTCCGCCTTGTGGTCTTCCGCCATTTTGGCCTCCTCGGCCACCCTGACTACCGCCACTGTATGGTGTGTTCCATGAGTAACTGACGGCTAGTACACCTGAAATATACGATTTGTATTATGTGATATTAAAATACATTTCTTATACAAATGAAAAGGGCGTGTGCGAGACCATTTTTTTTTTGTTAGAATATTGCTATACCTAATGTCCTAAATTTAAAAAGATAGTTAAAATTTCTTTGGGGCTGCGGTATTGCTTCTATCCAATTTGTAGTGGTCGTTGTATATATAGGTAAAAGGATATACCCATGTACTTACCAAGAAAGACGATGAGTGTGATTGAAGCTTTCATCTTGTAGGACTTTGATATCTGAAACAAAATGGTATAATATATTAACATACTTTATATACAGAATATGCACAATTCTTAACTAAGGTTGACAAATTTAGCAATGCTGGAAAATTCAAGCAAGAATTTCTGAAGCATAATGTAGATTGCTTACTTGAGCAAAAATAATAAGTTCAAAAATTAGATTTACCATCCATGATTATATAATATTGAGGTTAAATTTTCAAATGAGGTATTCGAAGAATACAAGCCGAACATTGAAAAAGATATACATTAAAGTATTTGCAACACGGCTACCGCGGAAATTACTAATTGCTAATAGGTTAAGCCAAGGACTAGATGGTCTTCATCTTGGTCACATTGAATCAAATTAAAGTAGAAAGTTTTGTTCTTACTTACCAAAGGTATTCCTAGGAGTAGATCAAAAGTTTGATTTCAACTCAGATTATTTTGGCCTTATATAGTGAATAAAATCGTGCCTGCAAATTTCGTCAATTTACTCTTAATTTTGACAGTTTGCAGTTACTGTGTTATATTAATATATTCCAGGGATTTGATATGTAATGATGTGTTTACACTCTCACAGTTCTATACTGTACATACATGACTGGTTCTCTGGGAGGCAATATTGCTTTAAAAATCTCGAATTTTGCTCGTTACACTCTGATTGCATATCAGATATTGCACTTAGCAAAAATTCTTTATTTGTAACAACATTTACATTCATTCATGGTTGAGATCCATCAAATAAAACGGACAGAAATAATTGGCATGGGTTGCATGGGATTGGTACCTTGCTCCCCATCCCAGGGATCCCATTAGCCAATCTAAGCATAGTTAGAGATGTTTCCTTTTGGCATTGTCGTTTCCTTGTTAATGATTCAGGTAGTAACTGGATGGAAATGCTGCAAGGATGGGACAATACACAGGTCTCAAATTGAAAAAGAGTAATTGTAAACTATATGTACTAAATTTTAACCTCAAATTTGTCATTATCCCCAGTTAAATGGCTGAGATTAACGTGATAATAACTTTATCACTTCAGCATGTCTAAGTGAACATACTGTCATAATGAACGTATTAATAATTCAATTCTACTATGAGTTTAGATTGTATGAGGTGTTCAGGAATCAGCCTTCTCAATCCTCACAACTTGCATCACTGACTGGGGGGTACCGGATTGTCAGATGATACTTCTTCATAATGACAAGCTAAAACGAACTGAGTTTACGTTTACAGCCACTACATGTGCTTCCAAATTGCATAAAGTCTTTTTGTCCGGGACTATGATTGACTGTATTCGCTACCTTACAACCTAATTAAATCACTGCATCGAAAAAGTTTCGCGATACGAGTAAGGTGTCTATTGAAGTCAAGGTATTAGATGCAGTTCAAAATAGCTTGACATTGTGAAAGTTCTAGCATGTAGAAAAAAACAGCTGATCTTCACATTTTACATCAGTCGTTATTGAACGATATGCAATATACAGTTGACATGTTAAGTTTGCAGCTTATAGTATGGCTGTCATATTTGATTTTATCCTATTTTTACATTACATTGCGATTAAACATCCTACATTACTGAATTATTATTCATAACAGTATTGCGAATTGTCGACATTGAAGTACCTGTGTTTACTTAAAGTAGTCATACCAGATAGATATTGTGTTTTTGTCATCATTGCATCAATACTGTCTGAGCTATCACGTCTTCACATGTCATCCTATTACGGACTTCGTACTTAACTGCAATAGTCAAATTTCGCGTATAATGGAGTGTATGCAGAGCCCTTGACAGAAAGGCTAAACAGTGTGGCTTTGTGTTAAAAGACCTTCTCTGTCGAAACCTCTGATTGACCAGCGTATAAACTTATCACATCGCTTCATTTACATCAATCTACGATACAAGAAAAGTGACATTTGCTGCTATGGTGTAAATACAAAGTTCGTGATAGTTTGACATTGTTAGGCCATCAGAGCCTTCAATATTTCTGAGCAGTGGTTTCCCTTGATGATTGATGGTCCATCTTAGTTTCCGTAAGTTCTTGGGTTGACGAGTTCTCTTGCGTCCATTGTAATTGCATTGGTATAAGTAATCCTGCTTTTAACTGCAAATACTTCTAATAATAGACTTTTCAATCTGAGACAATCTTAATTGTCCACAACAAATCTAATTTTCTAAAATAATCCTAGAGTTGTATCAATTGTATAAGGAACTTTTCATATTTTCCAGCAGTTGTTTCCCTTGTATTGATAGTCCGTACGTGTTTCCTTCGGACGTATTGATAAAGGTATATTACCTCTTAAGCTACGATTACATGTGTATGTAAGCTCAAACTCAAACGTGATTACACGTGTACGTACGATTATTCTGTAAAACCGCTAATTTATAAAGGAAACCGAGTAGTATTGGGTCAGTAAACAAAGGAGGAAAGGAAAGTCCCATACAGTAATAATGTAATGATGGAGTTAGTCGTCGAAAACGCAAAAAAATCGCTCACTGAGCCATCCGGTGTGCTTGCGGAGGTGTTGAGTTTGAGTTTAAGGACCTATTTAAGCATAAAATTGGATTTTCAAAGGATGTCATGTCTGGTATGTCCAACTGATAAATATAGACACTTTTGAGACCGAGTTTGAGACTCAAAATTTCATGTCCATTCTAAGAGGCTGTATTCCGCTTAGAGTAAGATATAGTGATAAAAAGATAATTAAATTTCAGAAGTAAGACCGAATATATGATGTCGGAAAGGTCATCTTTGATTCTGAGAATATAACTTGTGGTATCAATTTGATTATTATTGACTTATGATGATATATATTTTTCATTGGTATGCCTTGTCTCGTCAACGACAACTCCATTATGGCTCGTCAGCATAGTTTCACCTGTCTGTATAGATTACGTCCTTAGTGGCGGACATGTAGAAACTAAACACGGTTTTATTTCGCAGCAGATTTAATATCAAACAATAACAATTTCGAGGGTCAACTTACAAGTATTTATGTTCATAAAAATACATGTTTATTTTGGTCATTAGTTTGTTGTACTATATATACTAAATAAATTTTACAATTTATGATAACGAACTCGGTCACGGTCACGATCACCCAGACAAGGCAGGCAATTATTTTGAGAATGCCGGATCGATTGATGACCAAGACTATTACTTGATGACTATCTGGTTACGACCAACGGACAGTCGTTATCAATGATACCAGACTGCTATCAGTGTTTCGTCTTTTTACGCCATTCCTCGGGTAGCGGAGATCCAATTTTATGAATATACAGTTGCAATGTCGATTGCGGATGTTTTGTGGTGATACCTTGGTCACAGCGGTACCGGAGCTATATGCAGAGGCGTTTTCAACAGCGTACTCAGGATTGCAAGTATTTGTAAATAAGGCTACGTGAAAACTTCGTAGAAAATAAACTCAAAATGATAATGAAATGTAAAATAGCTAAACAGATAATAATGAAATGTAAAATAGTATAAGCGTTAATCAAATTTATTTCCAATGGCTTGAGACATGACAAGTCGGTAGAGATACGCCCCAGAGGGAAACAAGGCATCTATCCGAGGTAGATTTAGATTTGCGTACACTGTTGAGAGTTGCTGTCCTGGAAGAGCTGTTACTATTGTGAACTGTTGTTTATCCTAGTCTACGTGGCTGAAAACTCGCGATATTTAGCCAATGTGCTAAGTCGGCGAGCATCCATCAGCTCATTATGCCTAGATCTAAGTCAATTTGCAATGGTCTGAAAAAATATTAGCTTAATTAATTGAACTGTAGTCGATATTTCATTAAATCAAAAATTTTGTTATTTACGCTTAACAAAGACGCGACTTTGATTACACAGCGCACTATAAGCTGATACAGTAGTCCGAAATATCTGCCTTTATTCCAACCCCCTAGCCAGATAGATATTTTTACCGAAAACTTTCAATATAGATACCAGAGACTGGAACAGACACACCTTAGTTAACCGGGATTAACTTGATAATGAATTCTCTTTGTGGTCTTCTGTATTGGAGATTTATAGATTTATAGAAATCGATATAGGCAGATCCACTTTAAAGCGCATATATATTGATCATGATGGATAGTTACTAATTTCCCTTGTAAATGTTCCATATAATTATACCTTAATATAACGTGCCTGAACCTGATAATTGGCTTAACTATATTGTTTATTATAACTGATAACCTCGGCCAGATTGTCATTTCGTGCCTGGAATTAATTAGATAAAGCTGTTGACAGTGACCACATTTGGTATAATAATGTTACTTGAGCCGACCATAATGAATCTGACCAATCTGTCTTCTTCCGGGACAGGTAGTCTACAGGTGTCGTGAATATAGATTCATTAATGGACGTCAGTGGTCCTAATAAAGAAAGTTCGGCAGATATCTGAATTTTGCCGAGTAAGTACTGTAATAGCTGCCAAGGTCCATCATCAAAGCAAACATTTTCCACATTCTTGACCATTGCTACAATCAGCCTAAACGACCATGGTTGGTTTGGTGGTAAATGACAAGTGAACGCCCGCTTCGTACGCTTCATTTGGGGTGTGAAATCCTCAACATCGAGTACACAATGGTAAGATTTCTCATCTCATAAAAATTGAAAATTTTTATCAGGTCTGGAGATTTCTTGATTTTCAAGACTGGGACCAAGAGTTGATGCAAGTTCATAATTGAATAAAAAGGAGATACACCTCTCTGCATTTCGTGAAGGACTGAGACCAAGAATTGATGCATGTTGTTTAAGAATGAGACTGCGAGTTGGTGCATGGCCATGCTGTGTAATACCAAGACCACACGTAGTAAGACGGAGACCACAAGTTAAAAAACACTCATAAGTTAACAGAATTTCTTTGGCAATTTTACTCAATTCAATACCCGGCAATTACATAGATTGATGATGAATGGCGTGCAAGAATGTTAGCAGTTGAACGTAAAATAGAAAGTGTTGAACTTAATTTTCAGGACGGATGCGTCCGAAATTACTATATTTTTTCCTAATTTTACGCTGAAAATGTTTATAATCTAAAACGAGCTGGTGATCTTGACTCTTTTTGTCATTAACGAAAACACAAGAAACAAAAGGATTATTTCATTAATTATTGATATTTTGTTCAAAGACAAGAGAAATACCGTCGAGGTATAAGAAGATTGTTGTTTTAGATATTTAAATGTCGATTGAATGTCTGAACCAAACTAGAAAATAAAAACAGTGGAAAAAAAAACTAATATCATCAGCATGTTTTATGAAGTTGTGTAACTACATCAAAGGCATTGCCATTTTCGTGGCTTTAAGATTACACAACTTTTGTAATTCATAGCTGAAAAACTTGTCTTTCAAATTCAGGTGCAAGTTTGGGATTTCTCAGTGTCTTCGCTAAACAGGTGTTCTGGATGACG